TCTAATATGTTTTGCAGTATAACGGATGAAGAGTATATACGGTATACAATTTCAGAAGCAAAGAGATATCAGGATTCCTTTGAAATTATTGCTTGGCTGAAGAGATCTTATGAATCGTTGACCAACCTTAAAGCCCGGAGGATGGCTGCTCTTTGTGCATTTGAAGTAGCCCAGGAGTACTTTGGTTTGTCTGATCCCAGCAACGCAAAAATCTTTTTCGATATTACTGCAAACTTGTACAGACAAGAAGGTTGGGTAACTTTGCTCTGGGAGGTGCTGGGTTACCTGCGAGAGTGTTCGAGAAACCTTGGCGCTTTAAAAGATTTTGTAGAGCTGTCTCTTGAAATGGTTGCACTGCCTGTAACATCTGATGACGATTCTGGGAACTTGGGAAGCAAAAAGTATGGTCCTGGAGGTCCTGCAACTATTTCAGGAAGAGAAAGTATACATCGAGAAGTTTTTACTCTTGTGTGTCGTGAAGCTGAGCTGATATCATCTACAGGAGAAAGTGCGTTCAAATTAGCAACTGATATCCCTCTTCATCTTGAGATTGATCTCGTCAGTCCTCTAAGACCAGTTCTCCTAGCTTCGGTTGCTTTTCACGAGCAACTGATCAAGCCTCGTGCTTTGTGCTCTATTACGTTGTCACTGCTTTCGCATCTACCTCTTCCAGTCGAAATAGATCATCTCGAAGTTCAGTTCAATCAATCTACGTGCAATTTTGTCATCAAAAATTCACAGAGGCCTCGTTGGGCTTCTGCGTCAAACACTGTGAAAAGTGGTAGCCAAGTAGAGGAAGAGCCGTCGCTGGTACTTGTGCCGAATAATTGGTTAAGGTTGACCTACGCAATCAAGTCTGGTTAGTAGTGTGATTTAATTCAGAGGTTGTTGTTTGCATCTCACTCACACACTTGCACGTATTGCATTTTATTCATTAAGTTTCAAACCTGTTTTGGACGCTTTCATAATCATAGTTACCATTCAGCACAACTGAATCTACAGAACTTGTATCTATATTATTGGAATCAAAGGGTAAACTGATATTTTCTTGTTTTTCCCTTTGCTTCCAGGATTTGTTTGCCTAACTTTTCTCGCATTTTTTTTTCATCTGCAGAGCAAAGCGGCAAGCTTGAGTGTCTTTCAGTCCTCGCGAAATTAGGGCCTCTTTTCACCATCTGTTCAAGAGCCGAGAGTCCTGCTGCAATGGAGGATTTGCCTGTCTGGAAGCATGAGAATCGTGTGGAATCTCTGCCAACAAAGGACCCAGTTCTTGCAGTCTTTGGCCAGAAAGCTACTCAAGTTGAAGAACCTGAACCACAGGTGGACGTCAGTCTAGGTGCCTCTGGTCCTGCCCTAGTTGGAGAAGATTTTACGATGCCTATTGTGGTAACTTCAAAGGGTCATGCCGTATACAGTGGTGAATTGAAGATTAATCTAGTTGATGTGGGTGGTGGTGGTTTGTTTAGCCCAAGAGAAGAAGCAGAGCCTCTTTAGAAAGCCATCATGTCGAACTATGTGGTATTGATGGGGCAGAAGGAAACGATGAATCTGAGTCTGAAACAGGGAACATAAAGAAAATTCAGCAATCTTTTGGGCTGGTTTCTGTTCCAAACCTGAAGGAAGGAGAATCATGGTCGTGCAAACTAGAAATCAAGTGGCATAGACCGAAGCCTGTCATGCTTTTTGTGTCATTGGGTTATTTGCCACATGGCAGTGAAGCCAATGCCCAAAAAGTCCACATACACAAGAGCTTGCAGATTGAAGGGAAAATGCCTCTTGTCATTAGCAATCGGTTTATGTTGCCATATAGAAGGGATCACCTGTTGCTCAATAGGATCAAGCCAGCCCCGGATTCTGAAGACATGGCTTCTCTGCCGCTGAACGAAAAAAGCGTGTTAGTTGTCAGTGCCAAAAATTGCACAGAGATAGCACTGAAACTGGTGTCCATGTCGATTGAATTGGATGATGAGCAAGTGGGAACTTCATGTTGGATTCAGCAGGGTGGTGGGTGTGGAGATACCCCGGGCTCTAACCTTGCGCCAGGGGAAGAGTTCAAAAAGGTATTCACAGTCATACCAACACTGAGAACTCCAAAGCTTGGCTTGGGATCAGTACATTTAAAATGGAGGAGGCAAGGAGGTATTAACACAACAGAGGCATGTGTTTTAACAAAGCACAGACTTCCTGAAGTAAATGTGGAGGCATCACCACTGGTAATGAGTTTGAACTGTCCTCCGTTTGCCATTCTTGGAGAACCCTTCACTTACGGCGTTAGAATCTGCAACCAGACGCAGTTGCTCCAAGAAGCAAAGTTTGCGCTGGCTGATGCACAGAGTTTTGTCTTGTCTGGGTCTCACAGCAATACGGTTTCAGTCCTCCCCAAGTCTGATCACGTCTTAAGTTATAAGCTAGTGCCCCTGACTTGCGGTCAACAGCAACTCCCGAAGATAACTGTGACATCAGTGCGATATTCTGCCGAGTTTCAGCCATCTGCGGTTGCTTCAAGTGTCTTTGTGTTTCCCTCAGCGCCACAGGCCAACTCTACCGCCAAGTAGTAGTAACATCACGCGACTTGGGTTTCCGGATTTGCAGCTTCGCCCTTCTGCCGTGACTCTGTAGGTGCAGGCAGCGTCTGGCGAGCTCGTCGCAATATGCATCTATCTATGGACACCGTCTGCCAGAACACCGACATATGTTTGTAGCAACTGTTTTTCTTTCTACGCGAAAGTGGTTGTGTGTTTTAAAACCATCATCGTTCATGTTCGATTCAGACGTGATTACGCTCACGTCGCTAAATAATAGATAGCGTTGGGCCTTTGTTATCTGTTCGTTGTATTGGGCCTCGTAATTGTACTAGGCCTTTTCTGTTGGGTATTATAATATTTGTTAAGAAAATATTTTAATTATCAGCATCACTTCATCTCTACTCTAGGCCTGATTGACCTTCACAAGCTTAAATCAGAATTAGCGATCACTGGCGGAGATGGAGGCGTCTGGTATGACATTGATGGAAAGCCGGCCGGGAGTTTATGTCGTCGGATCCTCCGGCGTCGGCAAGCGCACTCTCCTCTCTCGTACGTGCTTTTCCTCTTTTAGATCCGATTTCGCTTTTTGTCTAGGGTTTCCTTTTAATCGTTCTGCCATTTGACTTTTTTCTCTGAATCATTTGAATCTCAGGATTGCTCTCTGACAATTTTGAGGATTCATCGGAGTCACCATCTCAAACAGAAGTTCATGGGTATATCTATCTCTAAGGGCGACGGTTGTTTTGTGTGTATATATCCTGAGGAGCTTGTTACGATTCTTTTTCCAACTTTCTTTACCATGTGGGCAGCTGGAGGATTAACACGAAGTATTACACTGCGGATGTTTCTGTATGGATGTCACATATTTGCGACGACAACTCTCTGCCCAGTCTCCCTCAGTCGCCTCCAATGGTGGCGTTAGTTATGGTCTTCGACTTGAGTGAGGTTCGACATGGATACGGCTGTGACTCCTTATTCTCTCATCTTGCCATAACCCTATTTACCCGTTCTTTGCAGCTGTCAACTCTTGTTGCTCTTCAGGACTGGGTTTCTCATACTGACATCAACAATTTTGATATATTGCTGTGCATTGGGAACAAAGTAGATCTAGTCCCTCATCACCTAGCTCATGATGAATATAGAAGACGTCTTCTGAAGGCAACAGACTCCTCTGGCAATCTGTATTCAGATGTTGATGAGTTTGGGATCTCCAAAAGTGAAGGAAGTAGGTTGTTGGGGAGCGAAGATACATCATTGGATATCAGAGGAACATGCCTTGATTGGTGCTGCGAGAACAACGTCGAGTTCATTGAGGCTTGTGCATCTAATCCTGATTTTGACAAGTGTAAGTTGTATGCTTTTCAGTCAATCCTTTACTTCTGCCCTTCATTTTGATGGAGTAACCAGGGTTGCCGGGTTTTACTTTCAACTGGCTGAGAAATGATGAGCAGAGAATACGTATTTGTCTCTAGCATTTATGAGACTCTGGGGTTGGTCCTTGTAGGTTTATCAGTCGATGGGGATTCTCAAGGGGTTGATCGTCTATTTGGTGCCCTTTCCGCACATATGTGGCCTGGAATGATTCTGAAATCGGGTGATAAGATAAATGAACCGGTGTTACCTCATGGTGAAGGTTAATTGCTCCTTTAGTTTTTTCTCTCCCATATATATATATAGCAAGGGGGTTCCCCTTGGGCTCATGTTGATTTTATCTTATACTTTCCTCCTTGTCAGAGTCGTCGGAAGAAGAATCTGAATATGAATTGGAGTATGAAGTGCTATCATCAGGCTCTGCTGATCCGTGGGAAAATATCGATGAAAGATGGGTTTCCGCAAGTGAAATGCGTCGTACACAGATGCTGGCGGATCCACTTCACACGAAAACCTCGAGGTAGAAAATAATATGGGGAAGCCAAAGAAAGTTGTGGATGAAGAGCTGCGGCCTTCAGGGTCAAGGATAGAGCCACAGAATGAGACTGGCAGAGCAGATCCGACAGCTGAAATTCCCTTGGACGCAGAAAACGACAAATGTTTCGAGTTTGAAGACGTGGAACAGTTGATGTCAGAAATAGGGAACATCCGTGACAACTTGCGATTGATGCCTGATTTCCAGAGGAGGGAAATAGCTGCAAATCTAGCGATGAAAATGGCTTCCATGTTTGGAGGTGACAGTGATGACGAGGATGAGCCTTAGTGAGCCCGTTTATATCAGTTATTGCTGAAGATCAGTTTAATCCTCGCTTTAGACAATTTTATCAAAATTCATTTCATGTTTTGTGGATGATTCTGGCAGTAATAGTCAGTTGCACGATGTTATGTGAAGCCAGTTAGCTATTCTAGCTACCTGGCCCGACATCTCATTACCTTGTCTCTAGATATGTAATGTAGGCTTGGAGCTTTATAATACAGCCTTAGACAGACATCCTAGTTGGTAACACTTGGCAAGGTAATTATGTATGGCAGCGTGCAAGTCTAGTAGAAAACAAAGAAGATCTGGATGGTGCATTCATTTTGAATATCAAACTCTATCATTGGGACTAACAGGGAGAGTTGGTTTCCAGGGCTATTATCTCCACTTCTCCAGCATGTTCCATCTCTCTGGGCTGATCTCCAGCCCTGACGATAGCGTGCCCCTCTATCAGTGCAGGAGATAATGGGCTCAGCTTCAAGATCAGACATGTTTTGGTCTTCATAATTACTCATGTAAGAGGCTGTCGAGTGACCGGTGGTCTTGGAGCGGAGTAGAGTGGCTCCAGAGGCGTGAAAGGCTGAAGTAGAGGTACTGACACTGCCAGAGCCACCAAGGGTCTCTGTTGGTGGCGTTCTCGCTTTGCCTTTCTTCTTCTTCACAGCCATGTGCCATTTCTTCAACGCTTTTGCCATTTGCTCATCAAACACAGATTTCTTCATGTGTGAACCCATCTGCCCACATCAACGACATTACATTAGTTTGTTGCTTGGTTATATCCCCTTGTAAGCTTCTCTAGCCCCACACGTATCTGGATGGTGAAGGCCGAGATTAGGATGATGTACCTGAGTAGTAACTAGCGCGTACAGTGGAAGCGTGATGTAGCTGCACAAAATCAAAGCTCCTACGCTGCAAATATATACAGAGCCAACTTGTTGAGCCCGATAGAATCGTTCCAGGCATGATAGATCTATGAATTGGTTTCTTCACTAGTGGCTAGTGAAGAATAAGTTTTTACCCAAGAGAGAGTTTTACGATGACAAGTTTGAATTCCTTGTGGAAGCAAGATTTTAGCTTGAAGGAATACTGCATGCCAAATTAACGCAATGTATATTATTGATATAGAAGAAAATACATCGCACAAACAGAGTAGGGGCATAAAAAAAAACCAGAGAGATGTCAGTTACCCAGATCCAGAAGAAGTATGTTATCTGGAAAGCATTCTACAAAAAGAAGGCTCATCAGACAGAAGTTGCAGGATGGAGCTAGAGATGAACACAAGCATGCAATGCTGGTTGTGTCAGAAACTAAAAGGTGCAAGTACCTGAAATAAGGCGAAGTGGAGAAGATGAAGCAGCAACTGAGGGCGATTAAACCAAAAGTATTTATCTGAACCGTGCACAAGAGGTATCCCTTGGACAACTGCGTGTTTATCCGTGATCCCCAGAGCCATTCTTGTTAGGATCGCTTGAAGCTTCGTACCGACAGCTAAAATGATCTGCAAGAGTTGCAATAATGAGACTTGCATCTACAACCATGGAAGAATCTATTTAAGAGCATAACTCTGTCTTACAACTATAGGCAGGATTGACGCCCAAAACATTGTTTCCCAGCCTATAAAAGGGAAGGGATAACTTTTTTCAGTACACTAATAAAGAATGATTTAATGAAGCGAGCAAATGCAAAGCTGGCTCACCATTAACATTCAGCAGTAAGAAAAGCACGAATGATGCCCATAGAAGTGGACTGCAGAGCAAAAATTTGTCAGCAATGTGGACAAAAACCTCAACGCACTAGCACTGTGAATGCGTCTTGTGTCATGTACCTTATTCCAACTACCACCTTGAAATCGTCTTCCAATGATCTTTTGATATATTTCTGGAAGTCGAAACTTTCTTCCCGGAGCTAAATGGGCCTAAAAGAGACTCACCCATAAAACATCACCAAAAAGTAGAAGGAAAATTACTAGAGAGGATCGAGTTTCGCCTTACAGCGATGAAAACATGGCGCAGAGTCAGGTAGTCGGTTCTCCCGACAGATCGAAAGAACTGCTGTAGGAAGCACCCCTGTAAATCAGATGGTGGAGATGAAGTTTTAGTCAACAACTTAATGCCCGCGACGGGGTTGCCAAAGAAGAAGGACATGTTTCTCACAGCGTAAAAGAAGAAGGGGATTTTTGTCCAGAAACTGGAATGTTGTCTAACGAAGGACGTCTCATGAGTGAGCCTGAATCTTGATGGGTCTATGCGCAGGGAAGAGACAATTTAGTGGCCTATATAAAAAAAAAACAAGGCGTTTTAATTAAGAGGGAACCCGCCCTACCGACTGAAAACTCGTAATCATGAGAAAAACGTCTCCTGCTCCCACCTTTTTCCAGCCACGGATCTGCAGTTGCAGAAAATGATGAATAGCTAGGAAGAAAGGAGGGCTTTGGGGCAAAAAAGGAAGTCAGGCTTGTCGTACCTTGAGCCTGCCAAGCATCATGGTGATGAAACTGTAGAGAATGTGAAAGACAGCCATGAAGAACAATAGGATGTGTAGCTGGTGCAAACCCGTGACAGAGATGAGTGGTTCATGATCCTGCGGTAGTCAAAATAGAGTGAGATAACAAAAGAGATAGCGTGAAGTTTATCAAAAGGAAAGCTAAATATTGACCTCATCGCAGCGGGATGAGGTAGTGGCAGCAGCTAGATGTCTGCGGTGGGTCTTGTCTTGTCATGCGTAGAAGAAGGATCTGGACAAGGTAGCATTGAGCAGCAGCCTTTTTCAGGGATACAAATCTCGAGAATATACTGCTCTCCGAAGGTGAGTAACAAGGAAATGAATCTAGAATCATCAGCTCTGCGTCCATTTCATTACATGTTAATTTTCTTGACCAACGACAGGAGAAAACAAAAGTCTATGTTCTTACCGGCCTTAATCTTTTCCAAGGCTTCAAGCAGAGAGTTCTTATGCTTCTCCCACAACCACTGAGAAAGAAAAGGAATTAAAAAGGTTTAGGCGAGAATACATGCGGAAGAGAAGGAAGAAAGCCAAGGCATCAAACCGTGGCAACTCTGTGAAGACCCTTCTCGAGGAGAACAGAGACAAGGATGAAGAAGGTACAGACGAGAGCAACGGCCCAGGTGGAGTCTGGGAGAGCTCTTTCTCTTTGGCACCGGCCTGGAGAGGAAGCTCGGGCGTAGCCGGGAAGCAGCAGGGAGCAGAAGAGCAAAATGGTCCAATACCAAAAGCATCTTGTGGCCATGGAAGCCAAAAGAAGAAAGATCCCTTATTCCTTGATTACGCAAAAACAACGAAGAGGGCAAAGAGATTAAAAAAACATAAAAGCATATAAATGCGGTGTTGACCCGAACGTCCGCTTACCGTGATATGTTATGAAGCAATAAATTATGAGAAGAGAGATCAAATCATCAATGTTGAGAATCAGCCTTAGACCCATCTCCTTCATGTCTCTATTCAAATCTCAACACAAAAGGAACTTAGTAATATCAACAAAAATGACATTTGGTTGCCTAACAGAAAGAATAGTAGAAGAGAATCGTCCAACACAATCATCAATCCTTTATTGACTAACTGATTATGCTTTTTATGATTTTTTTCCGCTTTTGATTAAATTATATGCCAACTTGCGACTTTATAGATATAGAATCATCATCTTAATTACTCTTGGCCATTGCTCCACTACCGACTCGACCACCTCTTTTTTTTCTCTTCCCGTTACTAATTACCTAACTGTTCTTAATATACACATGCATACTCTTTCGACAGAAAAAAAAAAAAATACACATGCATAGACTTTCTCGGCAAGCAAGAAATAACTACAATTCGAGAACAAGGTTTCCTCTCTTTTACTTTGTAGTCTCATGTAACCCCCCTTAGTTAAAAAAAAAAACCCCAAAAAAGCTAATTTCGTCATATCATATATCTTCACTTTATTTTTATATTTTGTAATTTGATCATCTACTGTTGATCATCGCTAGTGGCTGGACCCCGCTGTGATTAATAAAACTACAAAGCTAATTAAAAAATGTTCTGATATACAAAAAGACATGTCCACTTATAAGGCGATGAAAAAGATAAAATAATGAATGAATACCTTAACCTCAATTTATTTATAGAGAAATCTCTCCCTCAGCACTACCATGCTCTGCTGAGTTGAGTTACATTCGATGTAAATAGATACAAAAAGATTTTCAAAAAGATCATTATGACATGCAAACTGATCATCACGCGTTCAGAGTTCAGACAATTACAAAATAAGTCAAAAGGGACGAATCAAAGGAGAATTAAATCTGTTCAAAAGCCATATAGAAGAAGAAGTAACGACACGAAAGAAATCTGTTTTCTTACACAAAAGAACACTCTAGTATATACACCACAACTTATAATCAAATACGTTGTATTCATGCAGCATTCATCTAAAAAAATATCTTCCATTAAAAGTTTCCCATTTTCATTCAGTTTAACGTTCTTAATTTCTAGTGTTAAAAAGAAAATTTGTCCCTACTTTCATGATTTGTCGTATCATTTTAACCTCTGTTTGAAACGAACTCTTGACAAATTTGCAAAAAGTGAGAATTTGAAAGGTCCATTAGACTACGACATTACAAAAACAAAGCCCAATACTAAAAAACCAGTTAATTTCTTACAACAAGACCAAAATATCATCTTTAAGGCCCAAACATCAGTTTATTTCCTGTAAAAGAAGATTTGTTGCCATTCCCTGGATCTTGTTGCTGGCATCCGCTCTGGCATTTATATTAATATGTCTGGGAGGGATACAGAAAGAAGAGAAGAATAAGGACGACTAGTCATGCCCTCTCATCTCTCAGGTCTCCTTTCCTATTTCTCTACTTGCGAATCGAATGAGATCAGTTCTTTTCTCTCTTGAAATCAATTTGTTCACAGTTTTTTGGTGGGAAGAGAAAGCGGGTGTTAGGAATCTTGACACTAAACAAGCCAAAACAGCTGAATGCTCTGTTCCTTCCAGATGGTACTGAATCTCTCCCTTCCTTGTTTGTTCCTCACGTTTCGCGTATTAGTTGCATGATTGGCTTGAATCAATCTTCTCTAGATCTCTCGGGTTGCTGCGAACTGTTTCCTTGAATATGAGAAGGAACCCTAGCGGGATGAAACTTGTCATCCTAAAGGTAAATCACTATCCTTATATCTTCCGTTTGCACCACAGTGAATAACTTTTCCACCAGGAGGTCAGGGAAGAGCCTTTTGTGCTGGTGGCGATGTTTTCAGCTGGTTGCTCGATGACATCGGACGAAGGTATGTCATTGTCACCTTCCCATCTTTCTTTTTCTTTTCTTACTTTTCAGCGTCTACACAATCTTTCTCTATTTTTCGTGGCTAGGTAAACTGGAGGCCTCAGTGCCAATTTTCTTCTCAGATGAATACATGCTCAACTATGTTATGGCCACGTATAGCAAAGCTCAGGTCTCGTTATCATACTACCTTTTTAATTAGTGGATTTACTCAAAGTGTGCAAGCTCATTTGTTCGTTTTCCATTACTCTTTTTGCAATCACAGGTTTCAATTTTGAATGGTATTGTCATGGGAGGCGGAGCTGGTGTCTCCGTCCATGGTCGATTTCGTATTGCAACGGAGAATACGGTATTTTTTTTTTTTTTTTTTATTGATGTCCATGGATGACATTGTCATATATCTCTCTGAAATATGCTCATATCATTTCATATCTTTTGAGTTTCTCCAAGGTTTTCGCCATGCCTGAGACAGCGTTGGGCCTCTTTCCAGATGTAGGCGCGTCCTATTTCCTGTCAAGGCTCCCTGGATTTTTTGGTAACAAAAGTTATTTGGTCTTGCATGTCCTTCAAACCCACAAACGTTTGCACTCTCATCCTTCCTGTCTTCTTGTTTAGGAGAGTATGTTGGCCTCACGGGTGCTAGGTTAGATGGCGCTGAAATGCTTGCTTTTGGCCTTGCAACACATTTTGTGCCTTCGACGGTATGAGCTTCCTTTGCTTACGTCTTTAGTATTTCCAATCGCCGACATAGCAACTTGACATGCTAAAAACTAGAATGCCATTGTTTTTTTTTTTTTTTTTTTTTTTGAACTAATGGACTATGATAGCTGATGAACTGGCACAATGGACATATGGATGCCCTTCAAGAAATTGTGTCTGTGTTTAGCATTTTTCTTGCCAAGGACTGTTTGAGGCGTCTGTCATATCTTGCACTATAGTTATATCTGTCTTTGGAACGGTCTTGTGCAGCGTGCTTATATTTTCCGGCACGATGGTTTGTGTTGACTGACTCGACTGTTATAACCAAACTTGCGGCATATAAATTTCCTTATTGTCTCTATGGCATTTTGAATAACTTTTACACTTCAGACACTCTTTGCTTCGCCAAGGGTTGTGACTTAGCCAGGCTACTCTTTGTCACAGAGGTTGACTGCATTAGAAGCAGATCTTTACAGAGTTAATTCAAGTGATCCAACCTTTGCCTCAACAATTCTCGATGCATACACTCAGCATCCGCACCTGAAACCGCATAGTGCTTACCACAGGCAAGTGTACAGGATTTTATCTCTTTTTGTCATTCTATTGTACCTGTGTTTGCCCAATATCTTTTGTCATGCCAAAATCGCACACATTCAGGTCATGTGCTAAAACATTTACCCTTTTACCGGTCATGATTACATTACATGTTTTCAAAACTCTAACCTTGTATTGGGGTCAGCTTTCAATCGCTCTTGGAAGAATCCATTGCTCATAAGAACTTGATTGGAAAATTTGTGCGGATTAAAGAGTGCCGAGGACAGCTGTTTACTATCTCTCTGTTTTTTTTTGTTTGTTTTTGTTTACGCAGGTTAGATGTTGTTGATAGGTGCTTTTCGGGGAGAACAGTCGAAGAAATTATATCTGCACTTGTAAGTTTTCCATCTATGTACACGAAATGTTGACTTGCGGTCCTGAGTTGATTGATTTACCTTCGATGATGCACTGTACCATCATATGTGTTGCCGTAGGAGAGAGAAGCCGCGAATGAAGAAGATGATTGGATCTCAGCTACCATTCAAGCATTGAAAAAGGCTTCACCAGCAAGCCTTAAAATCTCTCTTAGATCGGTTAGTTCCCGGAATGCATCACAAGTTATGATGGGAAAGAGCTGACTGTGTGAATACATTTCAGATAAGAGAAGGGAGATTGCAGGGGGTGGGGCAGTGTCTTATCCGTGAGTATAGAATGGTGTGTCATGTGATGAAGGGAGAAATAAGCAAAGATTTTGTGGAGGTTTCGTCAGCTTTCCCGATTGTATCTTCCTCCTGAAGCTGTCCATTTTGTAGAAATAATTACAACAACTTATCTTACTTATGCAGGGGTGCAGAGCCATATTGATAGACAAAGATAAGAACCCTAAGGTTTGACAAAAAACGTCTCCGTTTAGAAGTATTTGTGGTGATGTCATACTGCGTTGACACAATGCCGTATACTGAAATTACAGTGGGAGCCATGGCGACTGGAGGACATGAAGGATAGCATGGTAGAGCAGTACTTCAAGAGAGTGGAGGGATTGGAGGATTTAAAGCTTCCACCAAGGAACAACTTGCCTGCTGCAGCAATAGCAAAGCTGTGAAGGTGTTGGAGCACTATGGCTTAGTCCTGGAAAGAGAATAGACATGTTACAACGCTGGTGTTGAATCGGCCTTGCATACCGTACTTAATAATGCATAATGCAAAACAGAAAACGATTATTGTATTGAAAAATGACACCAAAGCAGATGTTGAGAAGATTTGTTTGTGGTGTTGGAGGCACAACCACGGCCAATGAACGTGGATGCACGTCTCTTTTGCATCATTCATTTATTTGGTTTCAGAATACTAATACACCTGAATCGTGATTCCTTCGACTAACTTCATCTTCTTAAACTACTAAATAAACAAGGAATTAGCAAAACATGACCTGAATCGTGAAGTATTGAATGGGCAATTAAAAGTCTCCCGTGACTCTCGTCTTTCTTCTGCCCACATTTCCGGGCAAATTGTGCTTCAGATCTACAATCTCTTTTCCTTGGGAAAATGGAGGGCCAACGAGGCAGTAATTCTTCATTGAGCTCTGGCAATGGCAACGAAGTCGCCGCCGACGTGTCTTCTTCTTGCTTTTATGTTCCCAACCCCTCTGGTACCGACTTCGATGCTGAATCGTCTTCTCTTCCCCCTCTGTAAGTCATTGCTCCTCCTCCTTCTTCTTCCATTGTCTCAACTCGTCTCTGAATTTTCAAGCATTACAACTCTTGTAACAGCTCCCCAGCTCCGCAAGTGGCGTTGTCAATTCCTGCAGAGCTCGCTGCCGCCATTCCCCTCATCGATCGCTTCCAGGTTGAGGCTTTTCTCCGGCTTATGCAGAAGCAAATCCAGTCTGCTGGAAAGCGTGGCTTCTTCTATTCCAAAAAGTCATCGGGCTCTCATGTCCGAGAGCGCTTCACCTTCGAGGATATGCTTTGCTTTCAGAAGGTCTCCTCCTTTTCTCCCTTCTCTGCTGCAGTAACACTCCATTGACTTTGTGCTAAATGTCTCTTCCCCTTCAGGATCCCATCCCCACATCCCTGCTCAAGATAAACAGCGATCTCGTCAGCCGTGCTACCAAGTTGTTTCATCTCATCTTAAAGTATATGGGCGTTGATTCCTCTGATCGATCAACTCCTCCCAGTTTAGATGAACGCATTGACCTTGTTGGAAAGCTTTTCAAGAAAACTTTGAAACGTGTTGAACTCAGGGACGAACTTTTTGCCCAAATCTCCAAACAGACTAGACATAACCCTGACAGGTTTTTTCTTCTCTCCCGCCGTTGCCGGTTGCTTAATATGCATCTGACCTTATGCCTACTTCTTACCTTTTTTGCACATTGTCAGGCAATACCTTATCAAAGCTTGGGAATTGATGTACTTATGCGCCTCCTCAATGCCTCCTAGCAAAGATATTGGTGGATATCTATCTGAGTATATTCATAATGTCGCACACGATGCGACTATTGAACCGGAGGCCCAAGTTCTTGCTGTAAATACTTTGAAGGCCTTAAAGCGCTCTATCAAAGCTGGTCCTAGACATACCACCCCCGGCCGTGAAGAAATAGAAGCCCTTTTGACCGCTAGAAAGCTCACAACCATAGTCTTCTTTCTTGATGAAACTTTTGAAGAAATATCATATGACATGGCTACAACAGTGTCTGATGCTGTTGAGGTATCTTCTTCAACTCTTTTTTTTTTTATAAATCATAATCTAGTTTCCTTGCATTGCATTGCTAGCTTATCATATTCTTGTCCAAGGCATTAAAAATTAGTAATAGTTTTGCTCTTAGTAGCGTTTTGTTTCTCATTTGTCCCTTTGTTTTTGGTTAAACTTCTCTCACTGCATTGACATATCCGTGTCAGGAGCTAGCTGGGACAATTAAACTATCAGCTTTCTCTAGCTTCAGTTTGTTTGAATGTCGTAAAGTTGTTTCAAGTTCGAAATCATCTGATCCCGGAAATGGTATGCTCTCATATGACTTCTTGATCATTTATCTTGAAGCAATACTACTACATTATCGATTGTTTCTCTATCTGTCATTTGCAGAGGAATATATTGGATTGGATGATAACAAGTATATTGGAGATCTCCTCGCAGAATTCAAAGCTATAAAAGATAGAAATAAAGGAGAGATACTTCACTGCAAACTGGTATTTAAAAAAAAATTATTTCGAGAGTCTGATGAAGCTGTAACAGATCTGATGTTTGTGCAACTTTCCTATGTACAAGTGAGCAGTTTCTTCACTAATGGCATATTTATTTCCACTCGAAAAACTTGTCTTTCCTTGCTGACCTGACACACATACATGCAGCTTCAACATGACTATTTGCTAGGAAACTATCCTGTTGGAAGGGATGATGCTGCTCAGCTTTGTGCCTTGCAAATTCTTGTGGGGATTGGGTTTGTCAATAGTCCAGAGTCATGCATGTTAGTATTCTTAACTTCTGTATCTTCATTTTTGCTTAGCAAAGCCGCTGATTTCTTTTTTACCTTGTCTAGTAGCACTTTACATTGCCTTTTGTCCAATGTTTCGTTTACAATATCATTTTCTTTCTCATTGGGTCACGTATCAGTGATTGGACATCACTTCTGGAGCGGTTTTTACCGAGACAAATAGCAATAACCCGAGCGAAGCGTGAATGGGAATTGGATATCCTTGCTCGCTACCGTTCAATGGTAGGAAGCATTTTATTCAGTTCTATCTTTCCCTTATCAGATACCCTTGACAAATACTATCTTATTGAAGTGATAGCGTGTTAAAAAGTTCCTTCGTATTTGTGTTCGTGGGGATGTAGGAGAACGTGACCAAAGATGATGCAAGGCAACAATTTCTACGGATATTGAAGGCACTGCCATATGGGAATTCCGTGTTTTTTAGCGTACGCAAGATAGATGATCCGATTGGCCTTTTACCTGGACGAATTATTTTGGGTATCAACAAACGTGGGGTCAGTTTCTAAGTAGATGCTATGTGTGCATTGTGATTCTTCATAAAATCTGTTATTTGTTATCAATTTGTTTGAAATTCAAAGGTATTTTGTTGGATTTGAATTTGTTGTTTGCTTTATTGTAGGTTCACTTTTTCCGACCGGTTCCTAAAGAGTACCTGCACTCAGCTGAATTACGTGACATAATGCAATTTGGCAGCAGTAACACTGCAGTCTTTTTCAAAATGAGAGTCGCTGGTGTTCTTCACATATTTCAGTTTGAGACAAAACAGGTTCAATCATCATTGTTTCAGGATCATTATAATTATGAACCAACTCCTTGCGAAATATTCAATTTCGGCAACCTGTAAACTTGAACCACCATTTTATTGTTTGTAGGGAGAAGAAATCTGTGTTGCTTTACAAACACATATAAATGATGTCATGTTGCGTCGTTACTCCAAAGCTCGATCTGCTGCCAATAGCTTGGTTAATGGAGATATATCATGCAGTTCTAAGCCGCAAAATCTTGAACTATATGAAAAACGTGTGCAAGATTTGTCTAAAGCTTTTGAAGAGTCCCAGAAGAAGATTGATAAGGTACACAATCTACCAGATTTCTTGTTTCTTGGTGATGTAAAGGTGAATTTATAGAGGGAATGTTGAAAACTCGGTTGGAAAGCATGAAATAACATAGTTAAAATTTGTCATGGTTTAAAAAAGGAAAAAAAATCTTTGTCAGTCCTTGCTAATTTCATGTTATTTGTATGTAGACTGTTCTTTCCTGACCTTGACCTCTTTACTTTTTAAAGTTGAATGCTGATGAACTAATAACTATTACCTCATGTTTATGTTGTTTAGTTGATGGATGAACTGCAAGAGAAAAGTCAGCAAGAAGTTATTCTGCGTGAAGAGGTAGAAGCTATACGCAATAGCTTAGAGCTTGAAAGGAAAAATTTGATGGAGGTTATCTTAGACCGTGATAAACTTAAGTCATTGTGTGACGAGAAGGGGACGACTATTCAGGTTAGTTATATTATATCTTTTCTCTTCCTTTTATTGCTTTCTTTGAAGTTGTTTATTTATTCATTCTATATATGCTCTAGACCTTGATGTCTGAACTGCGAGGAATGGAAGTAAAGTTGGCGAAGTCGGCCAACACAAAATCAAGTAAAGAGACAAAATCAGAATTAACGGAAATGAATAATCAGGTGAATATCACGTGTTTAAATGTGATTCATAGACCCCCAAAAAGTCGGTGTGCTTTTAATTATTGAGTATTTATGTTGTTCCTTTTCTATTTTTCTTCAACAATGAATTTCTGTCACAGATATTACACAAGATCCAAAACGAGTTAGAAATTCGAAATAAGGAATTGCATGTTGCAGTTGAGAATTCAAAGAAGTTGTTGAGTGAGAACAAGATACTGGAGCAAAGTATTTTCAGTATTGAAAATAAGAAAACAGAGGAGGTGATTTCTATGTATTAGATTTATGGCCTATTTCAAATTGAGAAGTAGCAAATTCTTGCGTATTGTTGAATCTTTGATATTTCAGGTTGAAATTCACCAAAAGAGATATGAACAAGAAAGAAAGGTGTTAAAACTTCGAGTTTCTGAACTTGAAAATAAGCTGGAAGTCCTTACTAAAGACTTGGATACTGCTGAGTCTACGATTGAAAGTAAGAATTCTGACATGCTGCTGTTGCAGAATAACTTGAAAGAACTTGAGGAGCTAAGAGAAATGAAGGAGGTATTGTTACTCTTGAGTTCTCATCGTTTTAATTTTGTTTATGTTCTAATGTTGATAATGTATGTTTTTGATTTAGCTGAAAAGTAAATTAGAAGGATAAGGTGTTTACATTCCAATTTCATGTTTTTAGGACATTGACAGAAAGAATGAGCAAACAGCTGCGATTTTGAAGATGCAAGGAGCCCAACTTGCTGAGCTAGAGATACTTTACAAGGAAGAACAAGTTCTAAGGAAAAGATACTACAATACCATAGAAGGTAACATGCTCTCAAGTATTTACAACGAGATTTATTGTTAGATTTTTGGAATTTATTTTTATTTATTTTTGTTTGTATTTAATTGTAGATATGAAGGGGAAAATTAGAGTTTATTGTCGTATAAGACCTCTAAATGAAAAAGAGAGTTCAGAGAGGGAAAAACAAATGCTGACAACTGTGGATGAGTTTACAGTCGAACATCCATGGAAAGACGACAAAAGAAAGCAACACATATATGATCGAGTGTTTGACATGCGTGCTAGCCAAGATGATGTCTTCGAAGACACAAAGGTATTATTGATATGTAACCCTTGTCATTTACCTTTCACCCATATTGGTATTTTGTTTCATCGCCTAATATCATGTTTATTCAACAGTATTTGGTACAGTCAGCTGTAGATGGTTATAACGTTTGCATCTTCGCATATGGTCAAACTGGTTCTGGAAAAACTTTCACAATATATGGGCATGAGAACAATCCTGGACTCACACCCCGAGCAACAAAGGAACTTTTCAAAATATTAAAGCGAGATAGCAACAGATTTTCATTTTCTTTGAAGGTAATTTATTATCCTAATATATGTTGTGAAAAAGATTCTGGCACCAAATGACTACAAGAAGTTATGCAGGCATACATGGTGGAACTTTATCAAGACACACTTGTGGACCTTCTGCTACCAAAAACTGCAAAACGTTTTAAACTAGAGATTAAAAAAGATTCTAAGGTAATGTGATATATATTTAACTGGCTTATAGACACATAAGGCTGATGTCATGCATAAAATATTTTCTCAGGGTATGGTCTTTGTAGAGAATGTGACAACTATTCCTATATCAACGTTGGAGGAACTCCGAATGATTATTGAACGGGGATCTGAACGACGACATGTCTCTGGAACAAATATGAATGAAGAAAGCTCAAGATCTCACCTAATACTTTCGGTAGTTATTGAAAGTATTGATCTTCAAACCCAATCTGCTGCAAGGGGCAAGGTGACAAAATTCAGCGATGTCGTTTTCCTTTTGTTTTACTCATAATCCATTTTCATAAAATTTTGATAGCATTTAGGACTTTCAAGGAATAGGAGTTTCTTTAAATATTCATTGCGTGGTCCACCGTACCTAAGAGAAAATATAATAGTATTTATCTTGTATTAGAGAAAAATAGTTCAACGCCATCAGATGTATTGCTCACTAGGTTAAACCCTCAAGCTGTAACACAATAGGGATGAAATAGTTCCATATAGTGAGACAATAATCACACCCGCATTTTTCATTTATTGTTGTCTACATGAGAAATGGTTATTTTTCATGGTGGTATCTTATATAATATTCTGATCCAATGTTTGTTAATTTGCAGTTGAGTTTTGTGGATCTTGCTGGTTCTGAGAGGGTAAAAAAGTCAGGCTCTGCTGGTTGCCAACTCAAAGAAGCTCAAAGTATCAACAAATCACTTTCTGCATTAGGTGATGTTATTGGTGCTTTATCTTCTGGAAACCAGCATATACCTTACAGAAATCACAAGTTAACGATGTTGATGAGTGATTCATTGGGCGGCAATGCAAAGACGTTAATGTTTGTCAATGTGTCTCCAGCCGAATCAAATTTGGATGAGACATACAATTCTCTTTTGTAAGTCATGAATCCCATTTTATATACAATACATATTGGAATTTGCATATATACTAAACGTAGATATAATAGTCAAATAGGCTGAATGTTAAACACATTTTACTTTGGCCGAGTGCAGATATGCATCGAGGGTGAGAACAATCGTGAATGATCCCAGCAAACATATATTATCCAAAGAGATGGTGCGTTTGAAAAAGTTGGTAGCATACTGGAAAGAGCAGGCCGGTAAAAAAACTGAAGAAGAAGATTTGGTGGAAATCGAGGAAGATCGAACACCAAGGAATGAAGCAGATAGTTGAAGAAAGTTACATGTAATACATGTAGGTGAAATTGAGACGATAATTTCATTAATTTTGGTTGTCACCATTCTTTTTGTAGGAAGTTACTACTCTGAAGTAGTCTTTTGAAGAGTGATGCTATATGTCTCAAAGTTTCTCTTTTCTTGAGATCTTAATTAGAGGGAAAACAAATCGTAGATAATACCATACAAAGCCAGTGAACAGTATACATACAAGAACGAAAGTGAATCAGTAAAAAATAACATAAAATGTCCTCTGGGAGCGTGACCGTGTGCCATTCCATTTTGCTTACGTATACCATATTTGTGGTCTGGACCTCCTCTCTTCTTAATCAATTCTAAGAGTTCATGTATTTGAGAATTTGATTTTCATTTTTACTAATTTATTCGGTTAGTCATTAAGCTGGTGTACCTAATTTATATGTCAGTCCTATATTTTTTTTGTTTAGCTATTTTCAGTTCATGGGATCACTGAATTTATTGTTGCATATACAATAATTATTAAACTTTTAAAGAAACTTGCTTGGAAATTAAGAGAAATAGAAACAACTAGTACTGAGGATGTGCAAACCTATAATACCTTATCTTTGTATTCCAAAAAAAATTGTTTTTAAAATCGTAATTTGAAGTTGTAGTTAATCTCGCTAGACCATCAATTTCGGGTCAACGAGCAATGCCACTTTTGGGTCTGAAATAAACCCTAGTCAGATCATTTTGGGCCAGGGTTGCGAGAGTGTGCAGATTGAGCTATGATACCATGTTAAATTTCTTGAACTTCCAACACAAAACCAATTGGCAATGAGTGGATTGGCTCAAATCCATTATATATTAGTCAATGTCCCTCTCAACTTTCGATGTGAGACATCTCTTACAGACACTCTCTAGAGATTAAGGTTTTATGGCCTATTAACCTTTATATTATCTAATAATGAGCAATATCGTTAAGCTTTCTTGTTGATCTATGCTTATTGTCTTTGATTATTATACCAATTCCTTGATTCTTGTTGTCGATGTTAATAATGGCTGTTTTTGTATTGCGCACTGTCATTTTTTAAATCCTTTCTTAGAGATCTTTTTAAGATTAAACTCTGATAAGATCTAAAACCTTTCGTTATGATGAACTTTTCGTTCTTGACCCTTAATTTTTGAATCGCCTGACTTTTTTTTCCTCATTTTAGCTTAGGGAAATAATACTTTTACTATTCATGTAAAATTTCAAGTGGGTGATTGTGTTTACATAGTCTCTATCTCATAATCTCAGATTTTGGTGAACCCAGCAAGAAGAGTCTCAACCTGCTGGGCAAGAGTCTCAACAATGTACATATATGTTTTCTTCTCTCTTAGTTCTTGTAAATTTTGTGTTGTCTGGTTGAGATTTTAGACCTTTCAACTTATTTTACGGGTTTTTTTTAATTTTTTTTTGCTGTTAGCCAAATAGTTTAATTAAGGTAACTGGAGACACTGAGTAACAAATGTGTCATTCTTCTGTTTTCAGTTTGCACTTTCTTGAAAAAGTCATCAAAAGCTAAAAACTTGAGGAAAAAAATGACTTTTGCAGATGAAGAAGACGGAGATTCGAAAAGCGAGAATTCTATACTATACTACCTTAAGAAAATTGCTAAACTTGATAGCAAGTTATATTTTCCCCTCTGGACCTATGTTGCACTCAAACTCTATCGAAAGTGCGTTTCACGTTTTGGAAACAAAACTTGATGGACATGTGAGGGAAACACATGTTTTCTAAAAATCTTGGTTTGAAAACACCGTGGAAAGGCGAGTTTTCGATTTAGAAACGTGCATATCCGCTTTGGAAAGTATTTAGGAAGTTTGTTTATATATTAAAAACTAATAGTTAAAGAATGTAAATATATATTTGTGATTTTAATAATTTTAAAATCTATATTAACTACCGTGAAATATATTTGTTTTCTAATCGATTTACATAACTTAGAAACAAAAAAAATACGACTAGAACTTACAAGCCATAAACAAAGTATATTATTTTTCAAGTTAAAATTGATTTGATATTGTTTATTAAGATTGTAATTATAAGCAAAGTAACATGATTTTGTTATTATAGTTTTTTAAATATAGGATATATTGAATTTTACGTTTTGATTTTTGTGAATGTAATTATATTTCATCGAAGTAATTTTGTGGTTGCCATATTTATTGTGTTAATAAAATTATAAAACCAGAGTTTTTTTTATTTTATTTAGAATTTACTTATCAAATATTTGTTTACTGAACTTGTATAGTATATACACATATACTGTAGATGTTTAATAGTTTATATATGTATATGTATGTTTTCAAAATATTTTCATTTTTATATTTTTTAAAAATGACGTTTTCATCGAAACGTTTTCGTTTCCGCATACATACCTCTGTGGACTATGTCTAATAGGCGGGCTGTTATGGACATGTCCAGTCCAAATCATTTTGGGCCTGTTATGATGATGCCCAAATATAAATCTTGTCCAAATGGGCTATGCCCAAATTAGTCCACGGTCAGAAGCGGGTATGACCATATGGTTATCAGACTTCCTAAATACATTTAATTTTAGGGATTTGTTGATTTGGGGAAAATCATAATTTCCAATCCTTCTTTGTCGACGATTTCCTCCCACGATTCTGTTCGTAATATGATTCCTAAGATCTGGGTTTTCGTTTTTTGATTTTGGGTTTTGGAAATCTCATTCAAAATAGGATCTTTATTTGGATTCTCGATCATGTAAGTTCCTAATCCTTCTTTTCGATTTCATACTCAGCTTTGAGTTCCCTTTGCATTGATTTTGATTTCAATATGTTTCAGATGATTTACATACTAAGCTTTGAATTCCCTTTGCATCGATTTTGATTTCACTATGTTTCAGATGATTTACATACTAAGCTTTGTTAATGTGCAGTTGGCGGTGGCGGATTAGTGATGATCTGTGGCGAAGGCCTACGAAAGCCCTTGCAATGGAATCCCCAATGACTATCTAAGTGTAAGATCCTTAATGAAACATATTCATATGATAGATAATCTTATTCAGAACATCGATAGTTTCTAAAATTTGCATTGCTTTCCCCATAAACATGTTCAGTCATTGATGAATATTGTGTTCATCAGACGGACGTTCGAATATTTTTTTTAAGAACATAATTGAGATTCGAATTCTCAAGGTTCGACCCATTTTCTGCGATTCCTTTCCGGTTTCCAATTCGTAAGTTTCTAACTTTCCTCTTCTTCATTGTTACGCTTCACTACTCTCACTTGCTCTGTTTGTTGTTGGATCCGTATAGCTGCTGCTGAGGTCAAGTTTTTGAGTATATACGCTTTGTAATTTGTTTTAAGAAAGCTGCTGAATTCATGTTTCCTCTGTGCTGGAATCAAAAGATGTAGCCAATGTGTGTTTTTCTGTTGGGATTTTTATCTGGAAACTGTTTTGAAAATTAAAAATCTAATGAAGTGCAGTGACTTCTCAATCATTCTATATCGTGACCAATATGTTAGCCATTGTTATTTCTCTTTGCTTTGCGGTATAAAGCACCTTCACTAGTTATTAGATCATTAGTCTACGAGCTCTTAGGTCCTACGCTTGTGTCCCATTACTACATGATTGGTTCTTAGGTTTTGGTGGAATCTTGTTTTGGTTACGGGTTTAGGTGTTTGAGTTTAGTGAAATCTGTGTCAACGTGAGATGTATTAGAGACTCTGTTTTGCTCACTGGTTTTACGCAATGTTTGAAGCCCGCCCATTTGACAGCTCTACTTCTCCTTCTCATATTTTTGATTAATCCGAGTTTCTTGGTTTTGTGAGTTTCCGACGTTGTTGTTGATGAGCTGCTTTATTTTCTGGGGATTTGAGGATCTCTTGTCTCTTTTGCTCACTGGTTTTACGCAATGTTTGAAGCTTTACAGACTCTGTTTTACATACTAAGCTTTGAATTTCTTTTTTGTCATTGTTTCAGATGGATCACAACACTTTAAACTTGTATGATGAAGACTATTTGAGTGGGGATGATATGGATCATGTGGTGGAAGAAAACATTCATGTAGGAGGCGATTCTCTAAGGAGTACTGCTGAGACTACAAAAGGACAAGGTACACGTACTCTCGTAGACGCATACTCGTAGGATGATCCAAGAGCTCTGCTACGACGAGTAAAGCTCCCGAGAAACTCGTCTTTCACAACGATTCGTCCAAGGAAATCCAGGTTCAAAACGACAGTAGAGCGACGGCAACTCTAGAAACCGAAACCGACGAGCAATTCGTGAGAGGGTTCTTAAACGAGCAGACGAAGATTTGAAAGGGAATTTAAAAAAGGCTTTGGATGAGAAGCTGTACACCGGAATTCATGGATATACAGACAGATCACAAAGCTGGTTTTAGAAGAGAACAAACAAACTCGAGCGAGAAAGCTGGAGGTTCACACGGGCCATTAAGAGCTTCTGCTCATATCAGAGTATCTGCTAGATTCGATTACCAGCCAGATATCTGTAAGGATTACAAAGAAACTGGATATTGTGGATATGGAGATTCTTGTAAGTTCTTGCATGGCCGTGGGGATTACAAACCAGGATGGCTGATAGAGAAAGAGTGGGACGAAGCAGAGAAAGTGAGGTAGAGAAATAAAGCTATGGGAGTTGAGGATGAAGATGACGCTGACAAAAACAGCGACGAAGACGACGTTGCATTGCCCTTTGCTTGCTTCATATGCAGAGAGACTTTCGTCCATCCAGTTGTCACCAAATGCAAGCATTACTTCTGTGAGCATTGTGCTTTAAAGGTATGATGATGAATTAATATAAGTCACAGTTATGATTCTGTTTTTGGTTGGTGAAACTAAGAGTTCTGTTTATGTAATGATTCAGCATCACACGAAGAACAAGAAGTGCTTTGTGTGTAACCAACCAACTATGAGGATTTTCGATGGAGCACATGAGATCAAGAAGAGAGAATGGCTGAAGAACGGAGTAAAGAGGAAGGATTGTGAAGTTGCTTCTTCACAAGCCAAAACCAAACACTATTCTAGTGTGTTGAAGGGTCGTACATGCTTGCAGTCATGAATTGCAAGCATGTTCACTTGGCCATCACAGTTTCATCATCTATTGGCAGTGGCTGTTTCCAGGGCCACAAAAGAGAAACTAATTCATTAAGTTATAATTTGTATGCACTCAATCATCAGATCGATATGTGTCCGACTCTTGGTCCGTGTGTGCCTAACTACCTATCACTTCCTTTAATACAATAATTACATGGGCAAGTCGTGTGTAACACACACAAAAAAAAAATATTAAATTTGCGAATTTTAAAATTTTCTTGCCAAAATATGTGTATTAACACATTCGAAAATGTTAAATTTTTAAGTTTTTATTTTATTTGTCTAGTCGAGATATGTATATTAACACATACATAAAAATATTAAATTTTCAAATTTTTTTATTTTTTTGCCAAGATGTGAGTATTACTACACACACAAAAATGTTAAATTTGCGAATTTTAAAATTTCTTGCCAAAATGTGTATTAACACACATAAGAAAATATTATATTTTCAAAAAAATTTTCATCTTCTTGTCAAGATTTGTGTATTAACACACACACAAAAAATATTAAATTTTGAAGTTTTTTTATTTTCTTGCCTAGATGTGTGTATTAACACACACACAAAAAAATGTTATATTTTTGGGGTTTTTTTAATCTTCTTGTCAAGATATGTGTATTAACACACACACACACACACACACACACAAATATTAAATTTTGAAGTTTTTTTATTTTCTTGCCAAGATGTGTTTATGTTAATACACACAGGAAAATGTTAAATTTTTGAGTTTCTTTCTGTGAATTTTTCCTTCTTAATTTTGCATGACTAATTTTTTTATTTTCTTATCAAGATGTGTGTATTAACAAACACACAAGAAAATTTTTGATTTTTTTTTTAATTTACTTGTCAAGAAATTTATATTAACACACACAAAACAAAATGTTAAATTTTTGAGTTTTTTTTTAATTTTCTTGTCAAGATGTGTGTATTAACACACACACACACAAGAAAATGTTAAATTTTTGAGTTTTTTTGATAATTTTATTGTCAAGATATGTGTAGTAACACACACAAAAAAAAATGTTACGAATTTTTTTAATTTTTTTTGCCAAGATGTGTATATTAACACACAAAGGAAAATGTTATACTTTTGAATTTTTTTTTTAATTTTCTTGTCAAGATGTTTGTATTAACACACACACAAGAAAATGTTCAATTTCTGAATTTTTAATTTATTTTTGTCAAGATATGTGTATTAACACACACAAAAATGTTAAATTTGCTAATTTTTTTATTTTTTCTTGCCAAGATGTGTGTATTAACACACACAAAAAATGTTATATTTTCGAGTTTTTATTAATCTTCTTGTCAAGATATGTGTATTAACACACATACAAAAAAAAACTAAATTTTGTAGTTTTTTTAAATTTTCTTTCCAAGATGTGTGTATTAACACACACACAAGAAAATGTTATATTTTCGTGTTTTTCTGTGAATTTTTCATTCCTAAGTTTGCAGGACTATTTTTTTATATTTTCTTGTCAAGATGTGTATATTAACAAACACACAAGAAAATGTTAAATTTTCGAGTATTTAAATTTTTTGTCAATATATGTGTATTCACAAACAAAAAAATGTTTAATTTGCGTGTTTTCTAACTTTTTTTGCCGTGATGTGTGTATTAACACACATACACACACAAGAAAATCTTATATTTTTGAGTTTTTTTTTTAAATTTTTTTGTCAAGATATGTGTATTAACACACACACAAAAATGTTAAATTTTTGTGTTTTTTAATTTTCTTGTTTAAAAATTTCTTGTGAATATATGTGTACTAACACACACAAAAAATATTAAATTTTCGAGTTTTTTAATTTTCTTGCCAATATGTGTGTACTAACACACAACAAAAATGTTAAATTATTGAGTTTTTTTTTTAAAATTTCTTGTGGATATATGTGTACTATCACACACACAAAAAATGTTAAATTTTCGAGTTTTTTAATTTTCTTGGCAAGATGTATGTACTAACACACATAAGAAAATGTTAAATTTTTGAATTTTTTTAATTTTCTTGTCAAGATATGTGTACTAACACACACACAAAAAAATGATCAATTTCTGAGTTTTATAATTTTTTTGCAAGATGTGTGTAAGTACACATATGGAGAGAGACTTTTGTCGATCCAGTTATCACCAAATGAAGCATTACTTCTGTGAGCATTATGCTTTAAATGTATGATGATGAATTAATATAAGTCACAATTATGATTCTGTTTTTGGTTTGTGAAACTAAGAGTTCTGTTTATGTAATGATACAGCATCACACGAAGAACAAGAAGTGCTTTGTGTGTAACCAGCCAACTATGGGGATTTTCAACGGAGCACACGAGATCTAGAAGAGAAGGCTGAAGACGAGGAACGAGGAGGATTGTGAAGTTGCTTCTATCCACAGCCAAAACCAAAAATATTTCTGGGTGTTGAAGGGTGGTACAATGTCCTTCTGGACGGCAGTATGAATTGCAACTGTTCACTATTGGCATCACAGTTTCATCACTCCATTGGCAGTGTTGTTTCAGGGCTCCCCTCATCCTCATGAAGTTTGGTCCGTCTGCACCTTTGCGAATGAAAAGAATGCGTTTGCCTTATCCCAGAAGAGAAACTCAATAAGTTATATTTGTATACACTCTATACATCAGATCGCTATGTGGCCCGCCTCTTGGTATGCTTTGCTTTATTCACAACACACAAAAGAAAATGGTTAAATTTATATTTTTTAAAATTTTCTTTACCAAGCAATGTGTGTATTAACTCACACACAAGAAAAATATTAAAATTTTTGAGTTTTTTTTTAATTTTTTGTCAAAGACATGGTGTACTAACACACGGGCCAGGTAAATGTTTAATTTTTTTTTTAATTTTTTTTGCCAAGATGTGTGTATTAACATACACACAAGAAAATGTTAAATTTTTGAGTTTTTATTTTATTTTTCTAGTCAAGATACGTGTATTAACACACACAAAAAATGTTAAATTTTCAAGTTTTTTTTATTTTCTTGCCAAGATGTGTCTATTAACACACACACAAAAAATTTTAAATTTGCGAATTTTTTTATTTTCTTGCCAAAATGTGTGTATTAACACACACACAAGAAAATGTTAAATTTTTGTGTTTTTATTTTATTTTTCTAGTCAAGATACTTGTATTAACTCACACAAAAAATGTTAAATTTTCAAGTTTTTTTTTTATTTTCTTGCCATGATGTGTCTATTAACACACACAAAAAATATTAAATTTGAGCTTTTTTTTATTTTCTTGCCAAAATGTATGTATTAACACACACAAGAAAATGTTAAATTTTTGTGTTTTTATTTTATTTTTCTAGTAAAGATACGTATACTAACACACACAAAAAATGTTTAATTTTCAAGTTTTTTATTTTCTTGCTAAGATGTGTGTATTACACATACAAAAAATGTTAAATTTGTGAATTTTAAAATTTTCTTGCCAAAATGTGTGTATTAACACACACAAATGAAATTGTTATATTTTCGATGTTTTTTTCATCTTTTTGTCAAGATATGTGTATTAACACACATATAATATTAAATTTTGAAGTGTTTTTATTTTCTTGCATAGATGTGTGTATTAATACATACACACAAAAATGTTATATTTTTGAAGTTTTTTTCATGTTCTTGTCAAGATATGTATATTAACATATACACACCAAAATATTAAATTTTGAAGTTTTTTTATTTTTTCTTGCCAAGATGTGTTTATTTTAATACACACAAGAAAATGTTAAATTTTCGAGTTTCTTTCTGTGAATTTTCCTTCTTAAGTTTGCAGGACTAATTTTTTTATTTTTTTGTAAAGATGTGTGTATTAACAAACCCACAAAAAAATGTTAAATTTTTGAGTTTTTTTTTTTTACTTTACTTGTCAAGAAATGTATATTAACACACACAAAAGAAAATGTTAAATTTTTATGTTTTGTTTTATTTTCTTGTCAAGATATGTGTATTAACACACATAAGAAAATGTTAAATTTTCAAGATTTTTTTTTATAGTTTTCTAGTCAAAATATGTGTATTAACAAACACAAAAAATGTTACGAATTTTTTAATTTTTCTTGCCAAGATATGTGTATTAACACACAGCAGAAAATTACTTTTGATTTTTTTTTAAAAACAAATTCTTGTCAAGATGTTTGTATTAACACACACACAAAAACATGTTTAATTTCTGAGTTTTTA